TTCGGAAGTGACTGACAGCCCCGACACCGAAGGCAAGCCCCGGAGCATAAACCATTTCCTTGTACTTTACAAATGCTATTCACATAAGTCTTATGCCTGTTGCATTTAAGTAAATAGGAGTTGGTTGAATACCATTTGCTGCATGCCTGCCTTGACTTTTCTATACTCATCCTTGTCATCCTATTAGTAAGGTAGTTCTTTGATGCTTTGCCATGCTTAGTTGATAGGAGTTGAGAAATAAGTTAATGGTTCTATACTCAGGGTTGGTCCTGAGGTTTAATAAAGATCATGAATTAAATTTGAGACTAGGCAGACTCTTTGCTTGCATCAAGTTTAAGTCTTGACATAGTGCCCTGCCTGTGTCGATTAAGGACCATTTGTTGTAGGCCTGTGTGTGGTTGAGACTTTGTAGTACTGGCCACATACTCCGGTAAGCCTAATACCTTGGCTGTTCCATTATGTGAATGGCCAACCACACACTGGAGTGGAGAGATGGTGAGAGTAGCATGTACACATCCTGTGAATCCACTAGGAGTGGCTTAGGGAGGTGGAGTACTGTGCTCTCGGTTAACGCTGGACCCGTTCAGGTTTTGGAGGATCCGAGTGAGGGTTGATATATGTAGGTTTAGGATCGGTCCTAGACCTACATATGTGGTGTGGTAAGGAAACCCCAGCTAGGCCAAATTGATTCGAACCGCCATGCTTCTCCGAGAAGAAGACTTGACCCTCTGACCATACATCATAGTTAATTAATGGAATAATGGTACTTATGATCACATGATGAGATGGTTAAAGAAGTGGTTGCTTTAGATCAAATGCAACTGGAGACTGATAATGATATAACTTGAGCTAAAACATTGAAAGTAAGGATCAATCATTAGTAAGCTTTTTTGCAAAAGTTAATCTTGATTCTTGCTACAGACTTACCTTGATTCCTCTTAAGCCTGCATATCCTTGGAGTCTTTTCTTTTCGTCGGTTAAGTCTTGTTGAGTACATTTGTACTTAGGGTTCATTAACCCTTGTTGCAGGAGGAGAGCCAGTAGTAGAGAGGTTTGTTGTGCACCCTTGGGCAGGGTGAATCTCCTTTGAGTATTGTATTAAGTGGTATCGATCATGCTACACAACTGCCTAGTTGGCTAAAACTTATGAATTGTAATACCTTAATGAATGATTTGTAAACTTATGGTTAATAAGACTTTTGCTGTTTATTCTAAAGTAATTGTTTAAAACTGTTATAATATTGCAATGTCTTCTGTAATGTATCCTGCTCGAAAAGATAAAGTGCATGATTCGGGTTTCCCGAGGACACCCGACAGACTAGCGGGATTGTGTGGCTTATGTGTGCTATAGTCAGAAGTTTGTGAGACAATGACAGGCACATGTGGGCCATATAATATGGGCAGTTCTACCACAATTGGGTCCTGTAGGACCGGTCTGCCAGTCCTGCGTTCTTGACAACATTTTCCTGGTACAACTCCTACACCTCTGCCCCCTTCAGTTTCTTCACTCCAGCCTCCTCCGGTTCCTCGTCTATGTCCATCTTTGTTTTTTTCTCAAGCTTCTCCCCCTTCCCACCATCTCCCTTCGCTGGCCTAATTTTGTCCAGCCGCTTGAACTTTCCATTTTTTCAACCTTTCTTCCCACCCTCCTCATATCATTCGCAGCACCCCCACCATCTATTGAAGCAGCAAAATTAGGATCATTCGGCTACAAGAGCAAGGCCTTCTTAGCCGATGATTTATCCCTAGGTGGCATCGGTGGAGTCTTGGTTGGGCTTGTGGTCTCCTCCCCCTTCTCCAAGGTTTTGTCATCCATACCCTTCTTCCATGTCCGGTAATTGCTGCCCGAACCAGATGAGCCCTACCGATCACCACGACCACCGAAAGAACCCCTACTACCTGAGTTCCACTGAGCCATGGACCTTGATGTTTTGCACCAAAAAACCTTCCCTCCTCCTGTCCTTTCCCCCTCCTCTTCTCAGGTATGAAACACAGGCTTCTTGAGAATTGTGGAGTCTCCCCTGTTTCTAGCTGAATAGAGCACTGTGTATTGATATGACCAATGCGACCACATGTGTAGCAGAAATCAGGAAGAAACTCATAAGCAAAAGAGCACCACTTCTTCTCCACTCTTTCCACCTTAGCCGTGATGCCACGCATCAGTGGTTTGCGAATAGCGATCAACACCTTGATCCACAGGACCCTCCCCACTGCCATGCCATCCTCCCCAACATCAACCTCTCTAAACACACCAATCTTCTCCCCCAGTGTGGCACCTGTGTCCTCATCCATCATGCTGAGAGGAAGGTTTGAGACACGCACCCAGATCAGAATGTGGTTGAACTCCATCTTATCCAATGTCTTCGACTCATCAAAATCCGCCATGACCACCAAGTCCTTGGAAATCATCCAAGGGCCATCCTCCAAAGCCCTACATTTTCCTACTTCTTGCAGAAAGGTGAACAAGAAGTGGTTCTCACCAAGATCCTTGCACAACACACCCTTGATCGGGCACCACACACGCCCTAGCGTCCTTTCTAGGGTTCTTGATGCCACAAGCTTTTCCGCCAAAACCTTCCCCACTGCCTTCAGCTCTGCCACGCGTGAAGGTAGCGATCTGCCGCCACCAATCTTCACTCCTCCCTGTTCCTCCTCCGACAGGTGAAGCTTCCCCAGAAGACCCTCAACGCCCTCCATTGCAGACCAGGATCACCACCAAGGAAAAATAGCTCCTAGGGGCGGCGTGAAAAATTTAGGCTAGCAATTAGGTTTTTGACTCCGATCAACAGAGATAGACATGGACACCAGGTGAATGGTTTGTGGAAGACCTGGATCCAAAGCCTCGATGGGAGGAAGGGATGAAGATCCGAGAGAACGGGAGACAAAGATCATGAGGAAAGAGAAACGACGTAACCACCTCCCGAGTCGCCCAGGAAGCCCTAGGCACCAGGACCACGATTCTCAATCTATCTCCATCAGCTTTGTGGGCATCCTCCTTCTCCTTATCTAGATAGACATGCATCACAAGAGGATCCTTCTGATTCTGGGGAAACCGGCTTAACCAATTTCCAAAAAATGGCTTATAATCCACTCTTAATCGGTACAATTGCTCAAGTTTCTGGAAGTTCCCTCGATTACATTTGGTTCTATATAAAATTGAACAATATATCTATTGATTGCCTAACATGGATTCAATCCGCTAGCCTTTCTATTTGACATCTTTGAGTTGTTAGTTAAAAAGTGCTTAGAAAACATTAAGAAACATGTTTAGCAGAATCTTTCTACATTTTTAGAAGTTCTACCATTGGAGCACATAGTGATGCCTCCCAATTGACACTACTATAGACAAATGACTTTTTAGCAAAAGAGGCATCTTTTAGTAGAGGCAGCTCTATCAAATCCACCTCTAAAAATGGTTACCGAGCTGGTCCGTCTATAGAAATTAACTTTTAATTAGAGGTGGCTTGGTTTTACAGCTGCCTATAAAAATAGCTCTATCTTTAGACGCAGCTGTATCTAGAGACATCTCCAAAAATAGGTGGAGCACAATAAAATAAGTAACTTTTTCAAACAAAGTTAAATGAAGACAAACTTTATATCAAAGTTGTATATCTTGAAGAGATCGACAGCATTGCAGTTGACAACCTTTTCATTTAAAATGATTTAAATGCTGTAAATTTCATTTGCAGTTCTTACATTTTAAAATTAATTTTTTTTATTTTTCAAATGGCATCAGATGGAGAAATGACCAAAACCAAAGTTATAGATCTTGAAAAGATATAAACATTGTAGCTTATAAATTTATTTTGAAATAATCTATGGTCCCAAATTTAGTTTGTAGTTCTCACATATAGAAATAACCAAATTTTGGCTTGTAGTTCTCACATATATTGAAAAAAAAATTAAAAGCCCTTGCATGGAGAAATGAAAAAAAAGTTGTAGATGTCAAAGAGCTGCAACTTTTTACTTGATTACTTTTTCGTTTGAAATCAGTTATCCAAGAAAAAAAATATGTTTTAGGTTCTTAAACTTTGAAATTCAAAATTTTCAAACGGCCTCATATGGTAAAACGACCAAAACCAAAGTTACAATACTCGATGATATCTACAACTTTTTATTTCGGATCATTTTTCATTTGAATTTATTTATGGTCCCAAATATCGATTTTAAAATCCTGTAAAATGAATGGGGGAGAATATATATTTGTGTGATTTAGTCACAAGTGACTTTGGTATTTGGATATATTGACTCCTATATGGTAGGGTATATGTTAGGCATGCATATATGACGACGTGATCAACTCTTTGTCTGACGGTATATGATGCGGTTGGTATCATCGACCCTGCTTGCAGAGGCTAATTATTCTTTCTGAAGAGATGGAGAGTAGGAGACGTGGGATGCCATGGTTAACGCGTTGCTTGAATGCTCTCTACTAGTGCTAGCAGTAATCAATGAGAAATGGTTTAAGTACCTGATAACCCTGAAGAAAATTAAGAACAACATGATTATAGACATTCTTGGGCGCCAAGCCACCTGATTAGCAACTTCCACACAACTTCAAATTCCAGCTTCTTCTGCATATATATATATATATATATATATATATACACACACACACACGTGTGCCAAGCAGCAGAGCACGACAAAGTAAGCAACCTGTCTTATGCTTAGCCTCTCCGCCAGTCCACCCCCCCTTGCCTCCTCTGGATGAGGTTAGAAATCTTATTCGAAAGGGACATGACAAATAAACAAAACTAAGATCAGCTCATAGTCTTCCAAAAAATGGTATATTATTAGCGCTGCCGTCATGCATTAGGTTAGACATGACCGATACATAACGTGCTGAATCAACACGGTTGATCTGACTTCTGACCTTACTTGATAACACGATTTTGTATGATTTATATGCACATAGAAGAAAATTCGTGCTGCCTTGAGCACAAAATCAGGGTGAAGTGTAATGGTGTGCAGCTGTCCTAACTTCTTCAGCATACAGTGTCATGTCGCAGCCGCCGAGCTCACAGCCGCCGAGCTCACCGCCTCGCACACTGGCCATTTCGTTGGCCGTGTCCCTGTTATTCGTCTCCTCCGCCATCCTCTTGGTCACAGCAACGACAGCGTTCATGTTGCGCTACTATCGCCAGAGAAGGGACCGTCCTGGTTCCGAATCTGGGCACAGGGTGCCCGGCGCCACGCCCACCGGCGGCACCGATGCGGCGGCAGGCATCCGTTCCCTCCCTGGAGTAGAGATGACCCTGCCGGCCTTCTCTTACGCTCCCCATGACGTCGAGCATGGTGGCAGCGTACTCGAGTGCGCGGTGTGCCTCGGCGCGGTGAAGGAAGGGGAGATGGTGCGGCAGCTGCCGGCCTGCATGCATGTGTACCACGTTGGGTGCATCGACCGTTGGCTCGCCGTCCACCAGACGTGCCCGGTGTGCCGGTCGATCGCAGCTTGATTCGATTGTACTAGGCGGTGAGCTTGGATTCCCCTGACCAGTGACCACCCACATCAATAATCCGCTGTTTCCGGTTTGGCATCTGTAGTTTGGCACTGGTATATACTCTTACTACACTATGTAGTAATAGGGAATTAGGGGTGCATGCATGCAGAAAACATGTTGATTTATAATTTAAATCATAAATAGTATTTGTTGGATTGTTTTACTCCGGCAATATTCAGCATCGTGATCGCGTAGATGGAATCAGATGGTAGCACACGAGACATAGAGATTTATACTGGTTCGGGACGCGGTGCGCGCTAATCCCCACTCCAGTGGTGCAACTGCTCTTGTATTCATATGCTCAATTACAGGGGTTGTTGCTCCTAACTACGAGGTAGATAGAATAGGTGGAAGATGGATGATGTCAATCTCAAGCCCGAGGTCCCTACCCTCCTTTATATAGGCACGAGAGGTAGGATTACAGAGAGGGCGATCAGCTAACTGATTGTGTTCCGAGTTTGTTACAACAGATTGATCCTAGCTATCATCTAGATATGCCCGCCTTGATTTGCCTTGATCTCCATGTTGGTCGACCACGTCAGTCCTTGCGGGCCTCCTCCTTGACGGTTGCTGGGCCGATAGCTTGGTGCTGGTCATATATACGGCGGTGCAGGTACTCCTGGCCCATATATCTGACAGTAGCCCCCATAGGACTTAATGATAAGATAGCACGTATCTTCAAGCCCTTGGGACATCGCAGTCTCTCCTGTAAGTTCTGCGTACTGTGAGTACATAGTGAGCAGCTTCGGGTGCCGAAGTTTCGAGTAGCGCAGCTAGATATTCCCATGTATTGGAGAGCCAGTATGTTGCCATTCGAGTACCAAGAGCATTTCTCAGGTAACGAGAATCTTCTTCAAGCATCGAGTGAGGTGGTGGTACACCGTACATCAAGGAACGTTGTTTCCTGGCAGCTGTAAGTGCCTGGGTTGGGTGGTTCACCCCATATCGGGGAAATGTAGTTTCCTGGTGATACGGACATGAGCTCCATGCATACGACCATGCTTGGAGATAGAGGACGAGGAGATCAGCGAGGGTGTCCTAACTGAGAAGGAGGCCCGAAGCTCATCCGGTTCGAGTCACCAAGGTGGAGGCCCCAAATCAAGTTCGAGCCCATCTCGGGTATCAGGACCAGTCTGTCATAAAACTGGTAACACAGGCGCGTCCGGGCTCTGTTTTTGATGATCCACATATGGATGGAAAGCTAATTAGATAACGAAGCCAATGCAAGTGGTCTCACGTTAAAAGCCCTTCGTAATCAACGGGAATCATCGAAACAAGTTAGCGTCCAGAATCTGCCATGGTGCTGTGACACTGTCTTTTGGTCCGTTGGACCGTGTATCATGTTTGGGCCCATTAGGGGGGCGCGTCCAGGGGGGTGACGTCCGGGGCTCTATAATTAGTAGTTGTCGCTCTCCTTAGGGTTTGGGTTTTTTTTAGTTCTTGATTTTCTTGTGAAACAGATGTCGTTTTGTTGCAACTGTGCTGCCAAGGCCGCTTGCTGTGAACCAGGACCCCAGTTCTTGATCTTGTTCGCCTACGGCGATTAGTCCTTTCGAATAAAGACTTGAACTCCTTTTCGTTATCATAAGCCTCATATTTATTTGTAATTTCAGATTGCATTCATCTGGTTCTTGCTTGTGTTCTCAATTCGCTTGCAGGAAAGCCTTCTCGGCGAGGTCAATCGCGTTCGCGTAGTTGATAACTAACGGAGCAGTGGTGTAATGGTTGCGAGGGTCCAAATCAGTCTTGGTTCTAAGCCTAGATCGTGAACGTCGAGTCTTCACCAATCGACGTTATCATACCTATCAGAAGATCGGGCCTTGTCTACATCAAGTGGTATCCAAGACCTTGTTGCCCGTTAGGTATAACTTTGTTTTCCTCTTTAGATTGTTACTGTTTTTGCATTATCTGTAGTCCAAAAAAAGCCAAAAATATATACACCGCCACATATTCCATATCCTACAGCCCCTTTGTGCCTTGCAATATTTTTAATTTCAGTTTGCTTTGTTGAATTGTCGTCCCTCGCATGTCATTATGTTGGTTGGTTAGTTAGTCTTGGTCTAGTGTTAGTCTTCTTTGCTGGCCAAACAAAAAAATATATATCTTAGTGATAAAGTTGGTTTGGCCAATGGATTGGTTTGGTGTTTATTTTGGTCGATAAGATTTACTACACGTCTGATTTACCATCTACACAAGCTGCTGCTGTGTGTAAAAATTCAGGACTCCAAATTTCCTGTGGTTGTTCTCGGTACTAGATCCCAAAAAAGGAAGGTTTGTTGCCCTTTAGAACACGTTAGAGTAATAATCAACAAGGTGTTTCGTTTGTGGAGTTGCTTTGCTCACATGTCCAGCCACGCATATTGGTGCACAAGCCTATGCAGTTTTGATCGATTCATATGGTGGTTACATAATAGAGTCATTTGCGGCACATTCTGTTAAAAAAACAAAGAAATGCAAAAGGCAAAGAGGTGCAAAAAAAAGAAAAAAAATCCTCACCAAAAGAAAAAGGAAAGGAAAAAAAAGAAGGAAGGTGAAAAAAAAATTCAGACGTGCTTGCATCCTGTTTAGTCCTTGTGCTGAGATATTGTTGCTTGTTGAACTAGGTCTAGGACGAGTCTAGGCTCGTGACATAGACTAGCTTGGGACTACTTTTCAATCTTGCAATTTTTGAATTAAATTATTGTAATTCCTTGCTACTATATTGAGCCTGTCCAAGGTACACTTTCTTCTAACCAAGTACAGGTTCACCTTGCAACTGTTACACTCAAGCTACAACGGTATCACAGTCACCGACCGATTGCACCACCTGTTGCTTTGGTAAGAACACTTGTAAGTCCGTGGTAAGACGCTTGAGAGTGTGTGACTTTACTCCTTGACCACATCCTATAGTAGCTGATGGGAAAATACATACTTGTGTGTTTTCTTGTTTGATGCTAACAATAACATGCTACAACATGTACCGATATGAGACATCAATGATGCATGAGCCACGCACTATTGCTGCTACACCTCCTCCCACAGGTCAATCTATTCTTTCTTTCCCGCCTACTTATGATGGTATTGGTGCTGATGAGTACATTGAGTGGGAAACTAAAATAGATAATATTTTTGCACAAAGTTATATGTGCGAACCGAGGAAAATTAAAAATGCAACTAGTGTTTTGAGACAATCTGCATCAACTTGGTGGGAGTCTTTAAGTTTTTCAGATAAACCTCACACATGGAATGATATGAAAGATCTTATGAGGGAAAATTTTGTTAATACATCTCTTGTAATTAATTCAAATGATGTGGTGCATCAACTAGATCAATCTCTTGTTATTCCTCCTGCTATGCCTAACCTTTTATAGGACAATGTACAAAAGAGCGAGGATGACATGATAGAAAATGAGATGCTCACAGCCTCATGTGATAATTCAGAACCATCAACTATTACTCTTGCTGAACATGAGAGCAAAGATAATGCCCATGATGCTAAATTCACGAAAGGTGAGAGTTCTCTTGAAGTGCTGAATTTTTCCACCAATCATGCTATGATAGAGCAAATTTTAGTGGAATCTTCGCTTGATTTACCTTTGTCACAAGATGATTTGGTTGATGTTCCTTGTGACGAAGATGATTTGCATGATGATATTTATGTTATACCCATGCAATCATTGAAGAATTATCATGCTATATGTGTGCTGAAATCGAACACTTGTGCTAAAAATAGACTTGTTATTCATAATGCTAGTGAAGTTGATGAGCTGAAATTGTTGTATTCTTTAAATACTTTGAGTTACATTGAATTTGATGTTCCATGTAATCTTAGTTTTTTAGAGGAGAAATTTTATGCATATGCTAATTTGCCATGGTTCTCTAGACATACATATCATGTTTTTGGCAAATATAACAACCAAGGACAATATTTGATACAACGAGTTTACATTTGTACAAATCCAAATTCTCCTTTTGTTGTGCAAAGTAATGATCAACTAGAGGACAGTAAAATCAACACTGTTGTTATGCCATATTCCTCTAGTTTTGTTTTTTGAACACAAGTGGAATCCAAAGAAAGGGAGCATATGTTTCTTGTTAGTACTAATCTTTTACAGGATAGTATTGGCAAAGATCATGTGTATTTCAATCGAGAAGACTACATGTCTATAGGACAAGACATGCTACAAACCTGGACATGTGGCCATATTCTTTCTCACAACATTGTCCATTCCCATTATTTTGGAAACCTCGTTTGTCTTCATGTTGTGTAGGATCGACTTCAAGCAAAATCGACGTCGATGACGGCTTTTCATCAAGAAAGGGAGGATGATAAGGACATGAGCTCCATGCATACGACCATGCTTGGAGATAGAGGACGAGGAGATCAGCGAGGGTGTCCTAACCAAGAAGGAGGCCCAAAGCTCATCCGGTTCGAGTTACCAAGGTGGAGGCCCAAATCAAGTTCGAGCCCATCTCGGGTTCAGGACCAGTTTGTCATAAAACTGGTCACATGGGCACGTCCGGCTCCATTTTCTACGATCCACATTTGGATGGAAAGCTAATTAGATAAGGAAGCCAATGCAAGTGGTCTCACATCAAAAGCCCTTCGGAATCAACGGGAATCGTCGAAACAAGTCAGCGTCCATAATCTGCCAGGGTGCTGCGACAGTGTCTTTTGGTCCGTTGGACCGTGTATGGTGTTTGGGCCCATTTGGGGGCGCGTCCAGGGGGGTGACATCCGGGGCTCTATAATTAGCAGTCGTCGCTCTCCTTAGGGTTTGGGTTTTGTTTAGTTCGTGATTTCCTTGTGAAACAGACGTCGTTTTGCTACAACTGTGCCGCCAAGGCCGCTTGCTGTGAACCAGGGCCCCAGTTCTTGATCTTGTTCGCCCATGACGATTAGTCCTTTTGAATAAAGACTTGAACTCCTTTTTGTTATCATAAGCCTCATATTTATTTGCAATTTTAGATCGCGT